AACAGGAGGCATGTCCTGATCCTGTGCTTGGTATATGGCAGTGAGTTGATCTACATGCGTAAGAATCCTGATTCTCAAAGATGCTATAACACTTGAATCCCAGTGATATCTTTCAGGATGTTGCTTCTGGGATCTTTCATTTCCATTGGTACTTTCAAAAATCTGCACCTTAGATTCAGGCTCCTCAACCTAGTCTTCTCACTGGGACTGCACAGAAGGTATGTCTGAGACTTCTCCAGGACCTTAGTCTGCTGATCAGCCAGAACTCACACTCGATCTAAGAACAGCGCAGCTCCTTCCACCCCATTCACTCAAGTTTCTCCTTATGGAAACTGGGGAGTAGGCAGCAGTGAAGAGTGAGGGAGCGGCATGCACCCCAACTCTCACCTAGGCATAGGGTCTGGATGTGGAATTATGCAGACAGCTCCTCATGAATCATGCAGTATTTGCACTGACCCACCTTCGGCAGCAGCTCCTACACAGGATGAGGAGAAAAGCATCTGCCATGGCTGAAACCTGTCTTGTGCAATGGATGCTGCTGAGAGCAAAGCAGAGATTATGAATGAGCTGACAAAAACAGCCTGCTGTGGGCACAGGCTCCAAGCAGAGACAGAGTAGCTACACTGAAAGTGTTTCATCCATTACTGTCAGAGAAGTCACTTTTACCACTGATTCCACTCTAATAAATCATGTTGCCAAGCAGTTTTATAGAGGTGTTGTACATCTGAAGATACTTATGGTCCTGTTAAAAGAGATGCATTTCTCTTTAAGCTCAATGTGGCTGAAATGCTGTCACAGAAGAAAGAGACTCTCTGCACACAGTGCTATTGTGAAAGAGGTATTATTGTAATTATAGCAGGAGGGACAATGTGAGCTGGGAGCCACCATCATCTTCATCTGACCCACCACCTTCAGGCAGCATTGCAAAGCTGAAAATTTGCTACCACAAGCACAATAGCTGCTCACACACTCTTTGCCATGAGGATTGATGAAAATGGGGAAATAATGATGTTACTTCCCCATTGAGCATAAATCACCCATCCCCTCAAAGTGACTGAAGTATTATAAGTCTGGCCAGATTTATACAGGCAACTTAACCAATTAGCTCTTTTATAAAGGCTGTCACCTTCTTAATGCAGTGTTAGATATATTTAGGCATGTGTCTACAAAACAAAGTATTTCTTTCTGAAGCTAACAAAGCTCTCATTCTAGCAGACTTAAAACTTTGGTCTGCAAATGTTTGCCCTGTGGCTGCATTTGCATTAGAGGGTTGTTCAGTGATGGCAGAAGCCAACCAATAGATCAAAGTAGGAGGTCTGGAGGCACCTACATATACACTACATACACACATATTTATACACATACATACATATATATATAAAATATACACGGTGTGCCACCATTAATGCCAGTAGGAATATTCCTTACTGACAAGTGGAGTAGCTTAGGAAGATGGTATATCCAGCACAGCTAAATCTACATGGCATCAAGATTATGCTTTTGAATTTGGCTCTGTTTAAATGCAGCCCTTCCCATGGCCAGTCCTATCACCATCACACTGCTGCATTGCATAGCGCTGGGAGGGACCTGCCCAGCTGCTAATAAGCAGCAAAGGCACTCCTGTCTCTGGAAGGCAGAGATAATTCCCAGACCAGCAGCCAGCACAGACAGCTGTGGAGCTGCTCCACTGCACTGACAAGTGAGATGAAGGGAGTGGGGCCACAGGCAGCAATGTGGCCTTTGCTGCAGAAACCCACTGCATCCCAACAATACGGCAAGGCAGCCTCTGGCAGTGCCAAGTGCCTTAGCAAGAAGAACTGTCCACCTTCCAGTTTCCCCTGCACTGTCTTCTTAAATACATACACAACAGGTAACATCATGATCTGTTGTCAAACAACAGGAAAGTACCAAAATGTCCATTTCAGCGTTTGCCTGAGACAGAAACGGACACTGCACAAGCACAGAAGAGAAACAAGGAGGTCTCTAGGCAATCTGCTGCACTATTATTTCTTGGAGAACAAAATACTGGAGGAGGCAGAGAAAAACCTTTTGATTTTTTTTAACATCAGTTCAGGAGTCAATTGTGTGTAACAGAGCACCTGTGGCCATGTGGGCCTTGGGTCAAAATCCAGAGCACACCTCTGACTTGTGGCTCCAGCATAAAGAGGTTGCTGGAAACCCTCCAATGTCAACAGCAAGTCTGGCTGTCCAAACAAACATGCACTTGCAGTGGAGGCGTATCAAAAAGCTGCCTGACCCAGCTGCCTAAGCAGCAGAGAGAACCTGCTGGAAACCCTCAGCCAAAGAGTATTTCTCCCCTTCCATATGCAAGGAATTCCTTGCCACAGGACAAAAGGATGCCATGGATAGTAACTTTGCCTTGTCTAGAAAGCAACTGGACAAATGCTTGTGGGTAAAATCTACCTGGGACCAGCAAGCACAGAAACAAAAATCCCTGTGCTACATTGCTCTAGAGATAGGGAAATGTTTAGAGGAGGTATCAGCCTGCAGTTGCACTGATGCTGTAATCTGTCTCAGGTGTCCACTACTGTCCATCACTGGCAGCAGGACACTGAGCTAGATGGGCCTCAATGGGACAAAATGTCTAACATTTCTGGATTGTAGATCATGTTGAAAATCAGTCATGAATATTTGCCTGAACACTTATGTGTTCACTGTCTGTGAACCCCAGCCACATAAAAATATTTCCTCGGGTGAGTAGGCCCCTTGTTTCTACATTAACACAAATGCATTAGTCAAAGCCTTTCAGTGGCTGGAGCCAATGAAGGAGATTACTTCATCAACTCCCATCTCACACAATCAGATAGTGCAGGGCACACCAGGATACCTAAAATAGCAATATATTGGAAAAAGCATTATGACTATTTATAGATGCTGTGACATGATTAGTACCTCAAACATAAACTGGCAACCTACAGCCTAGCAAATCAACAACTCCCATTGGGCTCACAAAGTCAATGATGGGCACAGAAGTTGTAAATCACAGTATTATTTTTTATTTATTTCAAAACTCCAGAAAATGCAGACAAAACATAGGCATCTTTGTGTACAGAAAAGGCAATTCAGTTTGCTTAGGATTTTGGTATCATTTAACACTGTTTATGAAACTCTAGCCTGCCTGCCCCATGCAAAAGGCCACTAGCAGGGCTGCACAGGCAGAGCCTACAGATATGATTAGTCTCACAGTTGGGTCAGAAGCTCTCACTCTCTGTTGAGAGCATATGCATGTTATAAAGAAGCTCATCATGCTGCTGAGATGTGCAGCTCTGTTTGTACCAGGTTTATTACTGGCCTTCCTAACATCTGAGACTTCACAGGACAAATTTTGACAAATTTCAATGTTTTGATCATTACAGGACATTCATCACTGGTAGCCAGGAACGAGTGTATCTACAGTCCCCACCCATGTTCCAAAATGAATCTGAGAACACATAAACTAGGCAGCACTGTGCTCCTCCATTCCTCATCCACATAGGTAAAAATAATCTGGGAAATGAAGAGGTCCCTTTGGATTCAGGGACAGGACTAAAAGGGCCTTTGCTTCTTAAAATCTTCCTTCAAAAGCCTAATTCTTTGTTTGTCTTGATTTCTCTTTTGACTCTCCCTCTCCAACACTGCAGTCACTAACCACAGCCAATAGCTTTTCCCTTGTTGGTCTGTTGGGGTTCTTTTTAGTTAAATGTTATCTGCTCTTTTTATCCATCCTGACTAACTGCTCTTGTACACTGGTGACTGAAACTCCCTCGTGAGGTCCACAGCAAAACTCTTATGGGGCTCAGCAAAGGAGAAAAGGAAAGAACATCAGAACCTCACGTTTTCTCCTTTTACTGCTGAGATTTGTTCTCAGAACACAGGTGCATGTCAAACAGCTTGACCAGCCAGAAGCTGAGATGCCACCTGACAAATGTCTCTGCTCTAGAGGGGAAATGGCTTTAGGAAAGCACCTGGACCTTGGGGCACTTAATCATCAGAGGACCACACCTCTTTTAGTGGAGATAACCAATTATACAGGCACTCACAGTAGCATGGTGTGTGAGCACGTTCCCACTGCAGGCATTCTGCTGTCTCCCTGGCAGAGTCAACAGCTAAAATGCTGGTTTGATGTCTAACAGTTCAACATTGCTGGTCTTCCTGAAACAAGGCCCACATCTGCCATTGTATTCAAAGTTTCCAAAAGGCTACTCATTACATGACATAAATCCCTGTTTTCAAGAACAGCCAGGTTTTCCTCCTCCTTTAAAGAAAACAGATGCTCTGTGTAGCCCTTCAAAAACTGACATCATTTAAGGAGAAGTTTTTTTAAAGATTAGCACCCGAAGTAGTTTCACTATGTTCAGTGTTCTTCAAATGCACCTTCATATCACAAATAATAAGCACCTGCTTTCTTCCCAGCCTGTATTTTTCTAATCCAATTACCACACAGATTTTAGCTTTGGCTCTTGTATAGGCTAGTTTTAAAGACATGTTACACACAAGGTACAGGAAGGTGAAGAAATTATCTTGGGGTCTCTAGGCCACATTTTCCAGCTGCTAGCTGAGATCAAGACATAGCACACCTCAAACAGAAGAAGAGCTGCAAATAGAAACCTGAATCTTCCTCTAAATGACATTGCTCAGTCAGATGACAGAAATGTTGATCTGCACACTCTGAATCTATGTAAAGGACATTTGTTTTCACTATGCTGTGTTGGCAGCAACGCTCATGTCCCTTTAGACTGCTTGTGGAATGGCAAAGATAAAGGCAGCATTTTACAGCTGCAGCAAACTCAAAGAGATAAAAAAGTCACTGTATGCACTTTCATCATGTTCCCCGGCCCATCTCAGGTGAGACTAATAGTCTGTCAACACTTGGACGTGACTTCTGTCAGGCACCAGTCTTGCTAATTAAGTACTTTTGGCTTTCTCAGCATTGAACTCTGGGAGCACAAAGGAGATAAAACCAAGACATGGAGAGATCAAGAGAGTCTGTGTGGCTGAGGACCTGGTCTGGAATGAAGGAGCAGGACCATCAGAAGGTTCTGCAGTGTTCTTCTGAAATGGTTGGCCCTTAAAAGATTAAGGCATAGGTGGGGAGAAGAGGAATGATAGTTTTCTGCCTCTGCTGAATTATTAGTTTATTTTAAAGAGGACAGGGACATAGTGTGGGGAGGTTATCAGTGCAAAACAGCACCATGGGGAGCCAGATGTTCACTGTTTCACAAACCAGACCTCATTGCGTCGTCCATAGGGCTTCATAGGGGGGTCATATCCGTTGCACAAGTAGAAATCCTTGCTGTATGCAGCTTCACTTCCCAGGGCAGCCTTCAGCTTGGCAGCATAGTTTATGTAATCTGTCTCTTTAGCATAGCCACCAAACTGCCTGCAAAGAAACCAAATACAGAGAGGTGTTGAGCAGTCGTGGCAAAGCACAGAAAAGAAGAGAGAGAGAACAATATATAACCACAGTATATTTAGTCACACATTTTGGTCCAGGTCCTGCCAACATACACTTATGTATGTACTGTTCATTGTGAACCAGCATGCTTCATTTGTGATGGATCAAGTCTCAAGGGTTACACAGCCAGGGTGCAGCCATCCATTGGCAGATGCCAAATGGATCCCCCCAAACAGCACCATGTATATCAGTCAGCAGAATGGCCCTACCCTTTGAATCAATGCCATATAAGAGAAACAACTTTCTAGAACATGAGGTTATCTCCAAGTCAGCTCAGCCCACAGTCCTTACACCAATGCTGTCAACAACCATGTTCAGTGTAGTGTGAACAATCATCTGCTGGAAGCCAGATCATGAAACAAAGCCAAACTCTAGCTCACCCAAGGAAAAGGGGATGTAGGAACAGAGATGTTGGCAAGTACAGCACACAATGCTCTTTAAAAGGGGTGGGCTGTTTTATGTCGACCTCCCACCAACAGGAACTGTTTCCACATCAGCCTGCACCTCACCGCTGTGCCTCAGGGCCAAGGTTTGAGACAAAACAGCCTGACATTGCAGAAGTTGCCCACACCCAGAGCAAAGGTCAGGCAGCAGTCACAACCAAAGGAGAAGCCAGTTTAGTCAGCCAAAATAGTTCAAGCAAGGAGACAGGGAAACCTCCAAGAAATTAAAGGCAAGGTGAAGAGCTTATTGCTATTGTGAGGCTAGTTTGAGCCCAAGCTGTCAGTCAACAGCTGAAGACATTCAAAGGTGATTTGAAGCAATGCAATGCCTGCTTCTTTCCATGGTGGACTCTGGAGTGAGTCCGTCTAAATGAGGCTTCATTGACACCTGTAGATTCATGCAAACCATACCTAAGGACATTCTTGATGACTATGAACCATCTGCATCCCACAAAATGGGGAAAACAATAGTTTTCAGACTAAAGAAATGATGTAGTACCTTTCAGGGTTAACCTCCACGCTTGTTTACCCAGTGATAAGAAATCCATATTCCAAACCAGTGCATCATGACTAAGAATAAGAAATGACACAAAACCCCTGTCTTCAGTCTAGAAATATCCCTCTATCTCCTTCTACCATTTTCACTCCTTGTCCAGCAAGTCACCTGGTAAAACAAACACTGCTCTTCAGATCTTGCTAAAGACCCCAGCACTTTGGACTGAAAATCCCAGAATGCATTCCTTACATGGAATAAATGGTCATCCCTTGTCTCTCTTCAATCTTAATGCTTTCATCAGTAGGACAAGGAGGATTGTCTTGAAACTGGCTTGGGATCCGCAGAGAGACCTTCACTTTCTGCTGAAAGGAGCCATCTTCAGTGGGAAAAGCAGTGATGGAGACAGGAGCAGTCATGCCCATTGTGGTTCCTGAAAGAGACACACAGACATAACTAAAGAAGTCAAGGTTCTCAGAAACACACAAAAATAACAGGAGGTTCACAAAAGCTAACATTAGTTTAGGAAACCTCACACTGAACTTTTTGTACAGCCGACAAGAGTGGGGCCACACGGAACAGTCACATTAGGCTTCTGCTTGGGCCCAACTCTCTCTCCACACAAGGACTCTGGGAGACAAGGGCCCCAGGCTGACCTCTGGAGGGCCTTTTATCCAAGGTGCTGGTTTTGTGGCTCTTCGAGACACTCTGTTCTTCTGACAAATCACCTCTAACACAACAGTCTATAGTTCTGGGGCAGGCGTTTCAATTGTTACTATCTGCACTTAGTGATGAGCCCAGAGCCAATACTGGGTGACAGGAGCTTTCTCTTAAACCCTTTCAAATGCCTCCTGACATCCTACAAGTT